CTTTGAAGGCCTTGTGCCACATTCCACACTGAGATCTCGAAATGCATTTCACCTTAAAAGTTTTTTTAAACCTTGCGATGAGTTTTTGTAGCATTCTTTCCAAACCGCAAGCAAAACTGTATCCCGTACCGCTGTTCCAGCGAACACTCCATCACGGTGTGACTGGATCGAAAAAAGACTTTGCACAAAGACACGTCCTACCGCTCCTACTGATTGGAGCGATCAGAAACCAGGCGCGTTTGGAAGGACAAATCCCCCACCACATTTTTAGATCAATCTGAGTGCGCTGCGATCGATAGTCGCGTCGCAATAAAATCATGCGCATTACTTTCAGAACGCACCCTGTACAGACTGTATAAGTGAGCTTTTAATTAAAATATGACAAAAGAATAAAACAAAATTACTTTTATTGCTCTCAAACGATAGTCTACAAACTGTAATAACATTAGAATAAAAATTTGAAATATAATGAGAAGTTAGATTTATTGATCTCCATCACTTTCACTTGTAGTATCAGCATCTGGGATTTGGCTTTCACATTTCAAACAAGCACAAGTAAATAGATAATTCTCTCTGAAATAATTAATACAATGCATTAACACATGCACTAAAGGAAATATCTTTAAAAAATGTTAGAAGCCATACGAAATTTAATTGATGCAAAGTGTTTCCTAATAGCTTGATAAATGTATTCATTAATTTTGTGTATTCAAAGGTGGGATTTAAATTATTAGTCATTCTAAATTTTATAATTTCCTTCTTAATGGGCAATTCTTTTTCTTGGAGGATGAAATCAATAATTGTGATCTTTCCATTCATCAACCAAGTTGAATTTTTGTTTGTTTTTAAACAACAACAAAATTGTTATTATATCAATGAAATATTAAATCAACAAAAGAATTTATGGTTACAAAAGTCATTTTGATCTTAGGAACATTTTTATTTATAAGACTTAAATATCCAGATAATTTATTTCAAGATGTTAAATAGCAGACAGAACATAAAATCAATAAAAACAAGTTAAGTCTAATTTTTAATTTCTTTCTTCTTTTTTTCCCTAATTATTTCACCCTCTTCAAATCTGAATTATGTAATTTTGCATTTTAATCTTTATGTGAAATCAATATAATATTAATTTCCAAAACTGTATACATATGTGCATCTTTTTAAAAGTCTGTTTATATAAGTGAATAATATGGGCTATGTTATATTTAATCCAGAAATATTTTTATTCCCAAATTTAATTTTATTATTGGGGTATTATAGTAAGATTAGAATAATTTTTAAATAGGTATGATTATAATGAATTAATAACTGTAATTAATTAAAAATATGTATAGTGAAATTAATACTTTAATAAATAATATTTCATTATTAATATTCTTTCATTATAATTTATTATTAATTCATTAATAACAAATAAAAACAGCTCATTTATACCTTTTTTATATTTAGATAAATATGGATATTTTCTTTTTCTTACCTTGTCTTATTAAAGGTAAAATTACACTGTCATCCCATAATGTAAAAGAAAAATATTCTCGTGTATGTAAATGAATATATTGCTTAAAAGTGGTTCAAAGTTATCTCATAAAAGTGTTTTAAAAAGTATAACATGACACAATTAAAATGCAAATAGAAAGGAGTTGAAAATCTTGAATGGATTTGCCACTCTGCTGCTTTTTATTTTGACTTATGTTAGTTCTAAAGAAAAATTTCATAATTAAAAATCACAAAAAATAATAAATAAATAAAAGTAACTGGAATCAAAAAGACTTCAATTTAGAAGATAACAAATCTGCAATAAAAAAGAGACTCGATCTTATTTCAGATTTTGAAGTTACACCCGCCCTACTTTCAAGGGGTGAGGGTGGGGGTTCGAGTTTGGAAAGATTTAATGTAATTTTTGAAAATGTTTCACACGTGTATTCGTAGATTTTTAATAATCCTATGCACAAGATATTAGGGTATCCATACTTTTCAGATACTCTCTCTATATATTTATTTACAAAAATTTACCGTAATAGCTTGATACGACTATGTCTACTTCGGTTTCTGTGGCATTCATCAAGATAACAAACTATAATTTCCTGTAAAAAATAAAAATAAGATAATTAAATTTTTTGCAGAAATACAATATTTAGAAAAAAGGATTAACAGAGGCTATTTTTTTCTTTCAAATTTCGTTTTGAAATAAGATATTTCCTTCCTTTTTATAAAAAGTAAATAAATAAAAATAAACTTGTTTTAAATCACTACAATAATAAAAGAAAAGATATTCTTTACATTCACTGATTAAAAAGACAAATTACATAGTTTCAAGTTGACTTTTTTATCAGTGGTGTGGTTAGTAAATTGTTTATATATATAGCATAGCAATAGCATAAAAGATTTTAAAAGTTAAATTGATAAGAGAAATTTTAATTTTAAATTATCTTTACAAGTAAAAATCCTTAATATATTTAAAACATATTTTTGAAGTTCTGTGTTAACTCATGACATTGTCACTTTTAAATTTATAAGAGAAATTAAAGAAGGCAGTAATGTATACTGAAAAAAGTAATAACTACACATCAATATTAATATCTTAATTTGTTAATAGCAATTTAAGAATGGGTCATTATTTAATATTATTAAAATATTAATGTTAAACTTTTTGATAATATAAATGCAATATAATTGTTATTAATTATATGCAAAGATTTATACAAAATTATATTTTTCTAGTCGGAGAAGAAAAATTTAATTAAACAGTTTGAAACTATTCTGCAACACATAGTTTCATTATAATTGAAAAAATTTCGATTATAACATATTTCATGACTTATAAATTTTATATATATATATGTACAGTAAAACCTCCGCTAAACGGACATTCTTGGGACCGAAAAAATTGTCCGTTTATGAGAGTTGTCCGCCAACGGAAATGGTACCTTAATAACGAAGTTTAACACTGTAAATTGTATTTAGAATATTTTCGAAGATATAGAAATAATTAAATAATCTACAATAACTATCTACAAGGATATTTATTTAAACTTCAAGAAATATAAAAAAGTTTGATATAAATACATAATTCCAGATATAGCTACTGATAACTGAGTAGGAGCTTTCAGTCCTCAGTCGGTTTCAATTTTTAGGTTTACATCCCCTTACACCTACCTATCATTTGATGGGAAACGTGGTTAATACCTTCTTGAAAGTAAACCTCCCAGGATTCCCAGAAAAAAAAGCAATGTATACCTGTTAGCCATGAAGACATATGGAGTTGATTATTCACAATTGATCGGCTATAAAGTGTCTGAATTGATGTTTCATTTAAATGAACACATTAAAGATTATGCTTCTGTTCTCTTTTTTACCCCAGTAGTATTAAATACAGTCTTCAAATCGATAAGAAAATTAAAGAAATTATTAGTGGGAAGAAGCATTGAGAGCATTTAAGATGTCATTTCAACTTGAGGGGTCTCATAACCTGTGTGGTCCAGATGAAAAGATCAAAAGATGCCGCTGTCCAAATTATTTCAGGAGAGCATTATTATTTTGAAACAATGTTAGCTTTACTAGTTAAAATATTATTTCACTTACCGTTAACTTAACTATTAACTAGAATTGGGAGATGTAAGAAATTTTATATCATGATAAATCGTCTGTTAGATTTTGGGACATAGCGATATAACATACCCAACAAGCACACAAGTTTTGGGCTAGTAAAGGGACAATGTCGACTCACCAAAAGTGAAAAATTTCCGATACGGCAGGCTTTTCATTGCCGTATTGGTTCCGTTGATAAAGTGAAATCTGGCCCAAAATGAGGGCTAATGATGGCATTTCAAGCAAAACTTCTGGCAGTCGTTGAAGGACCGGAACTACTTTGCTGCCTTGGATTGCTTAGCCATTTTTGCCTGTGAAATACAGGAAAACTAATTTCATTTTACAGAAAAAAGAGAAAATTGCCATAAAGGCTTTTAGTGCTCCTTCATGATGTCTTTTTGCCTTTTTATCAAAGCTAAATACGCTCACTGGCACACACTGTTGCCTCGCTTGCCGTTAAACCACCTTAACTATAGGTTGATTAGAAAACGTCTATGCCGTCTTTGCCGCTATCGCACATTTATTTCAGGAGCTTAAGCGAATTTCTTTGCCTTATTTGCCGATATACTACCCTTAACTCACCTTACACTTGGTTCATTAGAAAACTTTAATGCCGCCCTTGCCGGTATCACATCTTTATTTTAGTTATCTCGGCAATTTTTTTTCACTAACTTGCCTTTATTAGAGCTCATTGTAGCTTTTAATTTCAAATGCTTTAACAAATTTACTGTATGTTGTTGATAACAATTTTTATTTAGAGAACATGTGTCATGAGCATTTGTGTTACTCTGCTGATATTAGCAATAGTAATTTCTTGTATTTTATCTACATATATTGTAATAAAACAATAACTATCATTTCATGCAAAAAAATTTATGATGATATAAAAAGCAAAATGATGGGTAAAAAGTTTAATTCATATTCAATTATCATCCAATGAATCTTCTTACGTAATAAAATAGATTTCTTTCATTTCATTTTAATCAATTATAAATGCAATAACTTAAAAGTAGAAGCATATAAAAACATTGTGTGTTTAATTGAGTGTTCACATTTTTTACACATTATGAAGTAAAATTAAATAAAATTTTTTATTCTAAGATAAAACATATTGCGACTTAATGTATAAGTTGTTTAAGTTATGAAAAAAATTGAAAATAATGCTTATATACATTAAACCTACAATTAGCTCTTCTTGGTAAAAACGAACCCACAACCCAGTCATTATTTTTCTATTCAATATTATTCATATTCAATAACAGATAAACAAGATGTATCATAAATATTTAAAAAAAAAAAAAAAAACTGGGTACATGAAAATAACACATCAATTTCTATAATTTTAAATAAATAAAGCAAGAATTTTAACAAGAATAAAATGCTTAAAATTTAAAATAAAACATGACTTTAAGAAAGAGTATTATTTTATTTCCGTAAAACAAATCAAAATACAAACAAATACATAAAAGCTGTACAATATCTTCTTCATAATCATCCAATTCCCGAATGAACCTAGTTTTCCTGCAAAAAATTAAGCAATTTATTTTACTATAGCTATATTAAATAATATGTACAGAAACAAAATATCTAATTAATTTCTGACTCATTTTAATTTTGGGTTAAGTTATACTATCAATTAATTCTAACTATTCAAAATACTTTCATTGATCCCAGAGAAATATTCCCAAAAAAATTCTATCCAATAATTATTAACAATTTATAGTTTTTCGTTTTTAAATATCCTACGTTATAGAATTTAATAAAGTTGCTCAAACCACCTGGATTTTTTATTTATTTATGTACTATCATGCATTGATTGTCACAAAAATAAATTTTATCTGATTGTAACAAAAGGTAATAATAGCACAAAATGAATATTCCAGTTTGCAATAAAACTAAGTATTAATTTTATAAAATTCCATAGTACTTTGTAATATCTATTGCAAATGTCTGAAATAGCGGATTTATTCGGATGGGAAAAATTGCAGCATCAAATATTAAAACAACTATGAATAATATCCTATGAATTAACGAAACTACCTGACTAAAACTTCTCTTTATAGTATTATGAAACAATTCATTAGTTTAAAAATAGAGAGAACTATGATTGACTTTAAAAAAGTTAAAAGTGGTGACCAAACTTCTTTACTTTAAACTTATCTCTTACAATCTATAAACTTTTAAAATGCTTCCATAAGTTAGAAAACTAACTGAAACGATACATATCACTTAGCGATGTTTATATATTGCATTTTGTAACTACAGATGAATCCATTTAATAATTGAACATACAAATGTATTTCAAATTAGAAAGAATAAATTCTCACCAAAATAGTTTGTAGCTATTAATATGATATTTATTGTTAATATTTAAACAAAATTTAAAAATTTTCATGATTAAGAATTATGAATGAATTTTTTACTTTAAATTAATATGTGAAAATATTTCCAGCTTATATAAAATTAAATTATTTCATTAAAAGAAATTTTAACCTCAATGAAATAAACAAACTAAAGGTTTTTAAAAATGTATAAAAAACAATTTTAAGATAGTACTTTTAAAAATCTAAAAATATGTGATTTGTTTAAATTTCTATCAATTAAAAGAATATATGTTCCTTCAAAATTATACTCCGTTAAGTATTAATTACCTAAAGATGATATTATACAAATTTTCATAGAAGAAATTATTAAAATATGCAATAAAAAGGAATGATTTTCTAAATTTGTAATGAATTTACACAAAGGATTCCACTAACTAAAGAATATATTTTTATGCCATCAAGGTAGGTTGGTTTAAACTAAATGGTTTTTTAAAATATTTAATTTTTTTAATACATAAAAAGTTTTTATTTGAATAGAACCAGATGAAAAAAAAATAAAATTTTCTCATAAAATTTTTTTGTGAATGGGAAAGGTTAATGGGAATCGATTTTTTAAAAATAAATATATATGAATGATTTTTTAAATGTTAAATATCGTAACTTTTCTGCAAATATATCTATAAAAATAAATTTATGTGATGAAATGTTCTAAAAATGCTTAATATAACAAACAGTATCACCAAATTACTTTTCTAAAGATAAAATTACCCATGCAGCAGAGATAAGTATTAATTGCGGGGAAATAACGTTAAAATGCCACAAGGTTTAGAGCAAAAAAACGTTTCTTCAAAGCGTTTTACTTCCGTTTCAAGTGGTAGTTCAGAATTAGTTAAAAAAACGTTAATATTTGGGTTGTTTTTAACGTAAAAATTACGGATTTTTGCCTTTATTTTGACCAAGGTGAATTTTGTGACCAATTTTTCACTTGTTTTTAACCAAGCAGGTTTCCTTTTTAACGCATATTTTGCGCTTTTTTCACCAACTATTTACGCTTATTTTTGGTTCAATAAATTCGTTTTTTTCACCATGAATATTTACGTGTTTTTAACGCTTATTTTTATTAAAATAACGCACATTTAACGTTATTTTAACCAAAATACAAACGGATTTTATCCGTACTATTTACGTGTTATTATCAATATTTTTAACGCTTATTTTGAGTTAGGTGAATTAATAAATTTTTCGCGTAAATTTAACTAAATTAATTTCAATTTTAACGTAATTTTAATTTTTTTTAACTAAGAAAAGAAGAAACCATTCCGTATTTTAATGTTTACGCTGCACTAATTACACTAAAAAATATAGCATTTATCTTTTATTTAAAAAAAAACTTTTAATTCTTATCAAACTAAAACTAAAATAACGCAAAACAACCGATATTAATGCTTTTTTTTTTAAGAATCCTAGNTATTTTAATGTTTACGCTGCACTAAAAAATATAGCATTTAAACTTTTAATTCTTATCAAACTAAAACTAAAATAACGCAAAACAACCGATATTAATGCTTTTTTTTTAAAAAATCCTAGAAAAAGCTTTTTGTTTTTAATCTCACACTTTTTGTAAATTTTTACAATTCAAATTATAACTCAATGAATATGGAATGCAAATCTTACTACCTCTTCACAGCAACATACTAGTTTATTTACTTTCATGTCTCTCAGGAATTTTTAAAATTTTTCATGCCTAAAAGTTTGTAATATAAAGAATTGGTAGGAGAAAAAATTACTCAATACTTACATGATTTTCCAAAACCCTATGGAAAAAATATTTTTTTTTTTTTAGTTCAAATTAATAATTAAGAAGTCTACTGCTCTCCTTAAATCCATGTTTCCAAATTGCTTGCCTGAAATTATCTACTCTTCTAGAATGCTTTTGGATTCATTATTTATTTTTTTTTTTCAAAATGCATATTTTTTAGTTTTTAGCTTGAAAAATTTAACTAAAATTTACTTTAACACACACACGAAGTAAAAAAAATATATATATTAACCAAATTTACCATTTGATTTGTTTACTTACAAAAATTACAATTTTTCTAAGTCGTATGTTTGTAAAATTACAATTTTTAATCCAGAAGAGCAGTTAACTTAATAATTTTAAATACAGAAAAAAACATTAAATCAAATTAGATTTATTAAGTTTTATTTATTTTACAACTATCATACAATATACAGATTTACAATTATAACACATCGCCACAGATCTGATTCATAACTTCTTCCACCCTGCTGTTAGTATCACCTCTTCACTGCAATGTACCTGGAAAACAAATAACTATTTTAGCATATGAAAAAAAAATATGCTGGACAATAATATTAGAATGTTTCAACCAACAGTAGATTTCTAAAACGAAGCAATACTGACTAGATAAAATACAGTTAAATAAAAAATTTTAAAAAAATATTAAAACTGTTTATTATTTTCATGGAATTTCTACTAAGTATATATCGATTGAGTACATCCAAATATTTAGATATAAGAAAATCTATTTTACAAATTTTAGTCACATATTACACGACAAAATTACATACATATCCAGCACAAATCTGAATTAGAATAGTATTTCATAATTTTTTTTTATCCTAGCTCAATCTTACATTGAAGCCAGCAGTAAGTTATAAACAAAACATAAAATTATTTTTTGTGTGGCTCAGAGGAGAACTCCTCCAGGCTTTTAGTCTGGTGTTGTCGGCTGCTATGGTAACAAGTAAGAGCACATTTCTAATGGTGGAACAATGGAGAAATAAAGGTGTCAATTGGTTTACCCCCGCTGATCTAAAATCAAGACAAAACTATTCACAAAACACCCCTATTTGAAATGACTTTTTCTCATAACCACAGTACTGGCCACGACATGCGCCTGTTGTCAGGTGAAGTTCTCCTAAAAGTTGCCCTATACTTACTGTTTATTTACTTATCATCAGAATTTTATTTTCCTCTCTCCTTTTTTTCTTGCTCCTTAGCTGCAATTTTCATTCCTGTTCCGAATATTTTGCAAGAACTTTGTAGTTCAGAAACACAATTCCATTTGTTTCAGTTACGTAATTTTTAATTTCTCATTTATTAAAACAGTAAAAATACTATGCCTTTTAACACGAACAGTATCTTTAATATACAAAAGGAGTAATTTTAACAAATTCAGTAATTTATTAAACTATATATTATTTAGTTCAAGTGAAGAATTACATTTTACAATTGCCTCTGTTAAAGCTTTTTTAAACAAAAAATGGTTATTTTGAAAATTCTTTAATTTCTGTAAAATCGCTGCTAAAACGTAACACTTTACTCCAAAATACATTAGAAAGCTGTTTGGTGATATAGAAATTCATTTCCACAACGGAATTCTTAGTAATGGTGGGAAAAATAGGAAGGGTGGGAAAAATAGGTTCTGTGTTCCTTGACCCTAGTGTGTTACAATCAGGTTGCTTGGGGGCAGTAAAAACTTTATTTGTTTAAACCACTTAAAAAGGACTGGATAAAAAAATTTCAAAAAAAAAA